GAATATGAAACTAAAGAGTGGAGACAGCTCAAGATTGGTGTATTTTTATTAAACTGCTAAAAACAACAAAACCATATCTTGGGCTTGCCCTAGTTTGGAGCCCTAGCTTCGCCACTGAAAGGACTGACTTTATGCCCTACGGAATTTACTCACAGTCAATCCTAGATAATTTTGGAAACAGTGGCAGTTACAAAAAATTTACTCAATAAGGTAAGTAATCAAGTTTTATGTTACAGTACAATTAAGATAATTAGATTAAATAGAATATAGTTAATAAAATAAACAGTAAATAAAATAAACATACTTATTAGCTTAACTACATAATAAGGTGAAAATAATAATTATGTAAAGACCTCCTTTACTAAAAATTTTCAGAACTTACCCGATCACCTAAAACTTAAAGAGGAAATAGGTTGAGAATATACGTTAATATACATTAATTGTTTATTTTGTGTCCACAAGGAAAAATATTTTATTTTCGTTGCTTATATTTACTTATTTAGTTCAAAGTAAGCTTATAAATGTACGTTATCTACGTACGTTAAGATATTTTATCGGTCCATTTGTAGACATTTGCTACTCATTTAATGACCATAAACTTTACCCAAATGTCAGTAATCTTGTCGCTTTATTTCCTTTTTGTTTATACTTAGTAAAATATTTAGTTTTAATACAATTATAAAACACTGCTAACCCCAATATCAGGTTTTTCTAGAAAGCCGTAATCAAATGGATTTTTTCACTATTTTTTAATCATTGAATGCTAGTTAATAGAGGTGACATTTGTTTGTGTATTTATGTATGTTTTCTTGCTGTCCGAAAGCCTTTCAGTTAGTTTGTAAAAAAGAATAACCACAATCAATGAAAAATATATGTAAACTAAAACAAAAATTTAAAATTTTCGATAACAAGTTTTTTATTGGCCACGTAATTTGAATTAGATTTAATATTGTTTATTGATATAATCTTACACTCGTATATACGAGTATTCCAGGTTCAGAAAATATTTAAAAGGCGTCTAAGTTAAACTAAATTAGACTTAGAAGTCTATCACAACCAAATAACCTTTCTTTACCATCTTATATTGTGAAATTGTGAAAAGCTTGAAGTTCTCATTTAGGATTAATTATGTTTAATTACTCCTAAGTGGTGAAACGCTTTGAGTCCTCGTTTATACTTGTTAAGTTATGTAAACGTTTCATGTAAAAGAACGCTAACTGTAAAACATAAAACCAAAAAATAAATACAAAAGCTCTTTTTTCACGTTTTGTATTATTTTTTTTTCAAATTATTTAAAATTTTAAAATAGTTATACACAAACCCATAAAGAAGATCTAAGCGTATTAGAAAAACTAAGTATATGGCTTCAGAATGGCATGTTTTACAGATTTTAGATTGAATATGTCTGTTTGTGTGAAGCTAAGAACTTTTCACTTTTGACGTGCAGTCCTTTGACTGCATTTACTTATATATTCGAGTGACAGTTTTTTCAATCGTAAAATAAAAATGCTAGTAACTTCACGAATATATATTTAAATCCCTACAAGTAAAAAAAAACTTATGTTGCGTGGTACATATTCTTACGAGCTTGAGGTTCGTGACAATAAAAATTGCCGATAGGATTACCTAAATTAACACTTTAATTTTCTTTACACTTAAACAACTACTACACTAAACTTAAAACACTAATAATTAAACACACTGATTCACTTTATTCCGCTCCGAAGCTTCGCTTGTCTCGCCAAATTCAATACTTCCCCAATCGCACCTTGCAGCGCCTATAAATACACATTATTACCGAATCATCCAGAACATTCAAGTAAATACGCGCACCAATCGACAAATCGCCGAAAGTTAGAGAGTCAGCTTCCAGAAACTTAGTTCTTCATTTCGACAACAGATGGCGCTGTCCGTTGAAAGATTAGTGATGTCATTTTCTGGAAAGCTGTCCCCTCGCTCCGTTACCCGACACTAGATGGCGCTATGCCAGATGTCAAATTAGCCGCGCAACACTGCCTCCTGCTAGCCGATAATGCTCGTCCCGAGCATTATCGGCCCCATAATAACACGCCAGGCGATCCACATGGACGATCTTAGGAGTCCCTCTTGCGCCTTTCTGTAACGGCTCCGCAATGTCAAGGGCTGTCCTATCCCATGGTGCACCAACATTGTAAAATTTCGGTGCTCCTTTACTACGTGTCTGAAGTCCCCGCACGGCCGCACAACTTGTACATGTACGAAACCAAGCCTCGACATCGTCACGATAATGGACCCAGTAAAACTGTTCTCGGACCTTCAGCAGAGTTCGTTTAACTCCCAGATGGACTCTTGAATGACCATTATGGCACAGCTGTAGAACATTCGGCACTTTAGCCTTAGGGACAACCATTTGCAAACGACAGCTGTCTCCTCGACCATTGTCCCATTTACGGCACAGGACTCCATCCTGGATCAGCAAGCCGTCCCACTGGGCCCAATAGCCTCTAGTGGTCGAACTCATCGCTGAGACGTCGCTCCACTTAGGCTTGGTAGCACGGGCCTTCATCCATTCCAGAATCGGCTTGATGTCCGGATCTTCCTGCTGTGTATGTCGTAGGCTGTCCTTCCACTCGTTGCTGAGGTGATCTATCCTGAGCATCCTCACGGATACCACTACCTTACTCTTTTGCTTAGGACAATGTTTCCAATCTTCACGACAAGGTCTTCTTGACAATGCATCTGCGTTGCCATGAGATTTCCCGCTGCGACTTCTGATAGTAAAGTCGTATTCCGGCTGATGCTGGGCGGTGATGTTAGCCGCAATTCCCTTCTGAGATCGTTCACGTTCCCTTTCTAGGGTTCGCTTAGGGCAGCTGGATCGAAGATGGCCCCTTTCCCCACAGCCATAGCACCTAGGGCTGTATCCTTTATTGTGGTCGCGAATCGTAACTGCTGCAACCTCCCTAGCGCAAGAGGAACGACGATCCTGCCACCGCCAGGCGGTGCCGTTAGCTGCACTACTCTCTCGAGATCGATCAACTCTCCTTTCTACTGTTCGCTTAGGGCAGCTGGAGCGAAGATGGTCCCTTTCCCCGCAGCCATAGCACCTAGGGCTGTATCCTTTGTTGCAGTCGCGAACTGTAGCTGCTGCAACCTCCCTGACGTGATGGGAATGATGATCCTGCCTCACGGCTACCAACTCCAGTGCATGGGCCAAGGTGTCCTTAAGCGTCTCGTGATGCCCGAGTCTCACAGCAGCTCTGACCTCCAGTTCGCGGATGCCGTCGATGAATGTCTGCACCAGGTTCCCTTCAATGAGCGCAGGTACAGACCGGTATGCTTTTCGCACCAGCTTCTCCACCTCTAGAGCCCACTGCTGCAGGTTTTCATTGATGCGCTGCATGCGATATTTAAGCTGCGCACGAAAGACGTGTTCCAGGTGAGCGTCGCCATATCTCGCCTCCAATGCCTCAAGGAGTTGCTCATAAGTCACTTCCTCACCGAGAGCTTCCAGAACTGTTAAGGCCTGGTCGCGCATGCCTAGTGTGAGAGCAGTCATGGCCTGACTTTTATTCCAGCCGTTCGTTTTCATAACAGCCTCGAACTGGATTTTGTAGGCAGACCAGGAAGAAGTCCCGTCGAACGGTGGCACCTTGAACCCACGTAGCGAAGGTGTAATAGCTACTACGGGAGCTGTAGTTCCATCCCCAAGTTTGAGTTCCTCTAGTGATTTCTTCATGTCAGCCATTACATTGTCAACCCGATTGTTCACTTGGTCGATTCGGGTTTCGGCTTTCTCGATTCGGGTTTCAGCTTTCGCGATTTGGGTTTCAGCTTCTGATAGGCGGTTGTCATGCTGAGCAACCCTATCCTTCACCTTCTTGATCTCCTTCCCGAAGGTAGCGTGAAGGTCCTTCATGAGGAGCATCTGCTCTTCCAACCGACGGGCCTGTTCCTCTTGTCTGTCCCGCAGCTGCTCTTCCAAACGACGGACCTGTTCCTCTTGTACGCCCCGCATCTGCTCTTACAACCGACGGGCCTGTTCCTCCTGTCGGCGAGCCTGTTCCTCCTGTCGGCGAGGCTGTTCCTCCTGTCGGTGAGCCTGTTCCTCCTTTCGGCGAGCCTGCTCCTCCTGCTGCTCTTTCAACCAACGGGCCTGCTCCTCCTGTCGGCGAGCCTGCTCCTCCTGCTGCTCTTTCAACCAACGGGCCTGCTCCACCTGTCGGCGAGCCTGCTCTCTGCAGCATCACCATCAGAGCACCTAAATCAGGTGCTGCAGATGTAGGAACTACTGACGGGCCTGTAGCCAGCGGCTGGCACCACCAAATCTTCTTTGGTCCGTCTCCTGCTGGCGTTGACTTTGGGTACGGACACCCTCCGTTTCCTCCTTAGGTAAAATCGGCATGATTTTATCCCACTTCTGACACCAATTGTTACGAGCTTGAGGTTCGTGACAATAAAAATTCCCGATAGGATTACCTAAATTAACACTTTAATTTTCTTTACACAAATTAAAACTTAAAACACCAATAATTAAGCACACTAATTAACTTTATTCCACTCCGAAGCGTCGCTTGTCTCGCCAAATTCAATACTTCCCCGATCGCACCTTGCAGCGCCTATAAATACACATTAGTACCGAATCATCCAGAACATTCAAGTAAATACGCGCACCAATCGACAAAGCGCCGAAAGTTCGAGAGTCAGCTTCCTGAAGCTTAGTTCTTAATTTTGACAACAGATGGCGCTGTCGGTTGAAAGATTAGTGATGTCATTTTCTGGAAAGCTCTCCCCTCGCTCCGTTACCCGACACTAGATGGCGCTAGTGCCAGATGTCAACTTAGCCGCGCAACAATATATTCTCAACAGTAATCGGTTTGAGAGATCTCTCGGGTTTTAAGATAACAGTCTGTTTCTTTTATAATAATAATAATAATAACAAATCAATGAACGCAAACGCACTGCGGGCGTACTTTAGGGCAAAAGGGGAAGAAACTGGATGTTTGGCGTATCGGGCTCGGATGCATCGCTTTTTTGCAGAGCTGGAGCCATCTCTATCCGTCACTGAGCAAAACCTGGCAGACCGAGTTCGGTACATCCTGCGCTCCAACATATTTGGTGACGCCGAACTCGAACGACTACGACGTGAGGCTGTTCCCTCATCGGATGGAAATGCTACGGCTGGGAATGCGGCGCCACTAATTGCGCAGCAAACTGCATATGTGGACGCTGCCGTCAATATTCCATTTGTAGTTGATTCAGACGATGATGGAATAGTCCCCCACGAACTAGAGAAAATGAGGAGCATATTGGAAGAGTCGATGCTGGAAACGCGCAGCATGCCTCTCGAAAATCGACCGCGACTTCCCCCGCATACCCCTTAGCAAGCGAAATCGGGCTGTCGTGCGGGCTCTTAACCCAATGCTGGTGACCTATTTGGAAGCCAGCCGGGACCTTTGCGAGACGGATTCTATTCTTTTTGGCGCCGCACTGGCAGTATGCCGTATTATTGGCGCCAAACTTCCCATGGCTGGACGTGCTACTCAACAAGGTAGCGCCATCCCAGCCTGGAGAAAAAGAATCGAGGACCGTATCGCAAAGGCAAGGGCCCTTATCGGCAGACTGACAAGCTTCAGGTCGGGTAATAATAGACCGAGGAGTTGTGCGCACCGTTAGGATGGCGTTTGCTGGGACAAATATTAGTTTGTCCCAGCCGGATATCACGCAGAAACTAACGGAGCGCATAGATGACCTGAAGCAAAAAATCGCTGCTTGGGGGAAGCGGATTCGACGATTTAGCGAGAGGTCAAGGCGGTTCAACCAGAATCGTCTCTTCCAGAGTGATCAGAAGAGGCTCTATAAATCATTGGAGCGACCAGAGGTATGTGGAGCGGGCCCAGGACCGGATCAGGCTGACACTGTCGCATTTTGGCGTGGCCTGTGGTCAGAGCCCGTAAACCACAGCGAGGGCCCTTGGATGGAAGTTGTGGCGAGCCGGAGTGCAAGTGTTACGCCTATGGACCCCGTCACCATAACGCCTGAAGACGTGGCTGAGGCGGTCCGTAGGGCCCCGAACTGGAAAAGTCCGGGGCTCGACGGGCTGCATCATTACTGGCTGAAGGGGTTCGTAGTGTGTCACGCTGTGCTCGCCCGACAGTATCAAGAGGCTCTCGATCAGAAGTCGCTCCCGAGCCTCTTCACTACTGGGATCACTCACTTGGTTCCTAAAGATCAGGATACCACAGACCTGAGCAAATACCGCCCCATCACGTGTCTACCCACTATATATAAGACACTGACATCCATTTTGAGCGCGAGAATCACTCGTCACCTGGAGCTAAATCAGGTGATGTCACGCGCTCAAAATGGATGTCGGGGCGGTGGTCGTGGAACCAAGGAACCACTCCTCATTGACGCGGTCATTGGCAAAGTGGTAAAACGCAACCGTCGGAACTTCTCCGCCGCCTGGATAGACTACAGAAAAGCATTCGACTCGGTGCCCCATACATGGCTAAAGAGAGTCCTCGAGCTGTACAATATTGGCTGTACAGTTAGAGACTTCCTCGAGTAGTGTATGGGGCAGTGCAGTACGATCCTTTGTTATCAGGGTGAGCGGATGATGGCTGCGGAGAACCACATAAGGATAAGAAGGGGTATCTTCCAGGGCGATTGTCTGAGTCCAATCTGGTTCTGCCTCTCTCTGAACCCTCTCAGTACCTTACTGGAGGGCTCCGGGAGAGGATTTCAGCTACGGAAAGGAGGAACAAAAGTGACCCACCTTTTCTATATGGATGACCTCAAGTTATTCGCCTCCAGTCGCTCCCATCTTATGGAATTGCTAAACATCACTTGTGAATTTAGCAATTCCATTGGAATGGAGCTGGGGACGGATAAGTGTGCGGTCCTCCATGTTGAAAGGGGAAGGGTTGCTAACTCTGAGGGCATAGATTTATCTATGCCCGTCAACTTAAAGACCCTTTCCGAGGCTGAAACATACCGATACCTGGGTATGTCACAGAACATCGGTATCGATGAGGCTGGTATGAAACAGTCAGTTTGCGACGTGTTTTATGCACGCTTGACCAAAGTGCTTAACAGCCTTTTGTCCGGTGTGAATAAGACACACGCATATAACGGCTGGGTCATGCCTGTCCTCATATATACCTTTGGCATACTCAGGTGGACTCAGACCGAACTTAACGCCCTGGATAGAAAAGTCCGCACTACCATGACGTCCCATAGGATGCATCATCCGAGATCGTCGGTAATGAGGCTGTACTTGCCGCGAAAGCATGGTGGGCGTGGTTTTATGAGCGCGCTCACCATGCATAATCGCGAAGTGTGCAGCCTCCGTGATTACTTCCTGGCGAGATCGGATGATCCATTCTATAATGACGTCATTTCTAGTGATAAAGGGCTTACCCCTCTATCCTTAGCCCACGAGCAATGGCAGGACCCGGCAGTGCTTAGCATTTCCGACCGGGAGACCGTATAGAAGGAAAAGGAGCTCCACGGGAGGTACTAAAGGCTCTTCATGAGCCCTTCGTAGATACAGTCGCCTCCCTCAACTGGCTACGTTTCGGTGACCTCTTCGGGGAAACCGAGGGTTTTGTCTGTGCAATACAGGATCAGGTTATTAAGACCAACAACTATCGGAGATACATCCTAAAGGATGGCACCGTCGACGTCTGTCGAGCTTGTCGCCATCCCGGTGAATCACTTAGGCATGTCATCTCCGGTTGTTCGGCGCTTTCTAACTCTGAGTACTTGCACAGGCACAACCTAGTAGCCAGAATTCTACACCAGGAGCTCGCTCTGAAATATGGTCTCGTGGACCGGAAATTGCCGTATTACAAGTACTTGCCGGAAGCCGTGCTCGAAAATGACCGCGCCAGGCTCTACTGGGACCGGGCCATCATCACAGACAGGACTATTCTTGCGAATAAGCCTGATATTGTGCTGATGGACCGGGCACAGTCAAGGATATTTTTGGTCGACATTACCATTCCGTATGACGAGAACCTCGTGAAAGCCGAAACAGACAAGCAAACAAAATATCTGGACCTGGCTCACGAGGTGACCGACATGTGGGGTGGTCTGCCGACCGAAATTATTCCTGTAGTCGTCTCTGCAAACGGGCTAATCCCAGTCAGCCTCTCGGGTCATCTGAGGCGACTGGGACTACGTGGCGGACCGCTCCGGGCTCAAATGCAGAAGGCGGTGCTCCTCGATACCGCCCGCATCGTCCGCCGGTTTCTTTCCCTTTCCCCCTAACCCTCGGCCGTTTGGTCTCCCTGCCGAGGGCCTCCATCTGGTTGGGCTTTTATTTATTTAAGTATTTTTATATTTATTTTATGTTATTGATATTTATGTATATTTATCTTTTCATTCTCATTTATAATTATATATTTATAGAACCCAACCAGATGAGAAAACTATATAGATACCCCATAATAATAATAATAATAACATGGCGTAGGGAAGTGACGACCCCATCGCCCGTTGACGTGACGGTTATGTGACAAAACCGCTACGTCCGCGCAGTCAGTCAGCACCTTGCCAAGAGGTGTGAGCGCCGTGCCTCGGCAAAAATTGATGGTGCAAGGGCCCGCTTGTGCATATGGCCTCACCATGAAACGGCGCCGGGTCTGGGCGTCTCCCGTTAAATGACGCCCTGTATGGATGATGGAACATAGAAGATTGCGCAAAGGGCCGCTGCCTGGAGGTCGTCAGGGCGCGTCTGGAGCTGGCGCTGGACGCGACAGCATGCGAACCGCCAGCCGAGCGCGAGGTGCTGCACGACCACCCAGCAGCCCCTCGCATCCATCATCCCCACCAGCTTGCTTGGTGTCGGCAGGGTCTTCGCAGGCCCAGCAATCGGCACCCGCCACTGGTGGAGTACGCCGCATGCGATGGACCATCAATATGAATTCAAACGCATTGCGGGCGTATTTTAGGGCGAAAGGGGGAGAAATTGGAGGTTTCGCGTATCGGGCTAGGATGCATCGTCTTTTTACTGAGCTGGAGCCATCTATTACTGTCACCGAGCAAAACCTGGCAGACCGAGTTCGGTATATCTTACGCTCAAATATATTTGATGGCGCCGAACTCGAACGGCTACGACGTGAGGCTGTTCCCTCATCAAATGAAAACGCTACGACTGAGGGTGCGGTGCCACAAGTTGCAGAACAACCCGCACACGTGGATGCCGCCGAGAATACCCCAGTGGTTGCTGATTCAAATGATGATGGAACATTCACCCAGGAACTAGAAATAGAGCAAATGAGGAGTACATTGGAAGAGGCGATTATGGAAACGCGCAGTACGCCTCTCGAAAATCGACCGCGACTTCCCCCGCATAGCCCTAAGCAAGCGGAATCGGGCTGTCGTGAGGGCTCTGAACCCAATGCTGGTGACCTATTTGGAAGCCAGCCGGGACCTTTGCGAGACGGACTCAATTCTCTTTGGCGCCGCACTGGCAGTCTGCCGTATTATAGGCGCCAAACTTTCCACGGCTGGACGCACTACTGGACAAAGTAGTGCTATCCCAGCCTGGAGAACAAGAATCGAAGAACGTATCGCAAAGGCTAGGGCCCTCATCGGCAGACTGATATGCTTCAGGTCAGGCAATACCAGGCCAAGGATTGTGCGCACCGTCAGGATGGCGTTTGCTGGGACAAATGTTAGTTTGTCCCAGCCGGATATAATGCAAAAACTGACGGAGCGCATAGACGACCTGAAGCAGAGAATCGCTGCTTGGGGAAAGCGAATTCGGCGATATACCGAGAGGTCGACACGGTTCAACCAGAATCGTCTCTTCCAGAGTGATCAGAAGAGGCTCTATAAATCATTGGAGCGACCAATGGTAAGTGGAACGGGCCCAGTACCGAATCAGGCCGACACGGTCGCATTCTGGCGCAGCCTGTGGTCAGAGCCCGTAAACCACAACGAGGGCCCTTGGACGGAAGTTGTGGCGAGTCAGTGTGCGGGTATTACGCCCATGGACCCCGTCACCATAACGCCGGATGACGTAGCTGAGGCGGTCCGTAGGGCCCCGGAACTGGAAAAGTCCGGGACTCGACGGGCTGCATCACTACTGGCTGAAGGGGTTCGTGGTGTGTCACACTGTGCTCGCCCGACAGTTTCAAGAGGTTCTCAACCAGAAGTCGCTCCCGAGCCTCTTCACTACTGGGATCACCCATTTGGTTCCTAAAGGCCAGAGTACCACAGACCCGAGCAAATACCGCCCCATCACATGTCTACCGACCATATATAAGACACTAACATCCATTTTGAGCGCGAGAATCACTCGTCACCTGGACTCAAATCAGGTGATGTCGCGCGCTCAAAATGGATGTCGGGGCGGCGGTCGTGGAACCAAGGA